GTATGATTATGCAAAAGACAATGCACAGAATCCAAATTTTAAGTAATTTATTTCAGTAGGAAAAAACTATTTTAAGTTCATACGTTAAGCTATCTTGAAACAGCTTATGCAAACACACAGTTCAAACATACACACATGGTAAAGTATTAAAAATAACTAAGAAAAAAACGACAAGGAACAGCTAAACCGCACATCACTCACAGAGGTCATAGTGCATTTAACCCCCATCAAAATAGTGCTTGAGGTCAACTGGAGGAAAATATACTAAAATGGCTTGTGTGTAGCATAATGTAGACTTTGCATGTTTTCACATATGTGAAGTTCATAACAATGTGAATAAGTTCTGTTATTATTAAATGATACAAAAAGACACGAGTTCACTAAAATCCCCCTTTTCCACTTATCTTCCAATAAGTTTATGATAAAGTAAGCATATTAATTAGTAATAAAAATAAATAATTTTTTCCAGGGAAAGAAGGTGCCACTTTGTTCACTGCAGAGAGGAAACTCTGTACACATTGTCATCTTGGATCTTCAATGACACCCAAACTCAAGAAACATGCTGTAAAAAACCTTAGACTATATTGTACTTTCACAATCTTCACTATGAACAGTCTATGCATGGTCCATTATCCTTGCAAAAGACTTAACTCTTGCTATTTAAGTTGCATTCAATTATAAATCCTGTTGTGCAGTTCTCCTCTATCATATATGTGGAAAATTTAACTCAGAGATCTAATAGTCATGGCCTTCAGAATTTTTATTTTCTTATTCTAGCTGAAAATTTATTTCTCAAAATTTAGATATTATAAAGCTTAGAAAGAAACATTAACTCATGAATAGCCAATTTTTAAAAAACTGGTTTCCACCTTTGAGTTATAATTTGAAAATGGATTTTTAAAAAAATAATTAAATGCTTCAGTGAAACATGCATTTCTAGGGCAAGATCTTACATTGGTGATGACAGTGAGAGAGGAGGGTCTCAAGGAATACTTGAGGCATCCATTGCCTAGTCTTGGTGCCTAGCACTTACATATTCACATACACATAGAGGAGTTTATGCAAAAATGTGAACTGGCTCCCAAATGCACTGAAATTCCTTGTATAAAATCAATGAGTTGAAACTTGTTCAAATTAAGAGTGTTGTTACTGGGTCTACTACAACAGAAAGGTTGGCTTTCAAAGCAGAAATGGGCTAAGAATAATTGCGCTTTTCTACTGGCTGAACAATTCCAATTATTTAATTGGAATTTCTGCAAAGCCCAATTTACATGAATAGTGGAATGCATAGAAATAATACTTGGTGGATTGCCACCTTGGTCTTTCAAACTGGTAGTTAAGGCACTGGCAAAAATTTTATACAGATATAAAATGCCCATCTCAAGATAAGCAGGAAATGTTATACTCCTCAAATGAATATTCTGTGTTTCTGTCTTATTTTTAAATGTAAATTTTAAGGTTGGATACAGGCCATTTTTAAATGGGGGAAAAAAAGTGACTTGAAATCCCCCAAATCTTGGCAGATAGACTTTAGGGAAAATAAAAATGATTCTTTAGTTCTATTTTAGGGTCCTCAAGTTTTCATAGTAGATAATATACCAAATTAGAAAACCAGATCAGATTTAAGAATGCTTAGAACTGAAAAAGAAACGTACAAAAAGATGAGGTGGAAAGATGCAATCTGAAGAGCCATAGGAAGCTTGTATTACAAGGAAACCTAATTTGTAACCAATTTGACTGATCTGACAGAAAGGTACAGGAATATGCCACAGAATTAGAAAGAAATCCAAAAAGTTCACTTAACCTTATTTGAAAATAGTGTATGTCTATTGCAATATCTACAGTAAATGTTTTATGATTCAAATGTAATTTACATGAACAGCTGAAACAAAGTCTTTCATTTTAGCTAATGTGTACGGTAAAGCTCTTTCATCCATGTCTTCAGTGTACACAGAAAAGCGTGTGTGGATCATTTGTATCTGAAGCAGTGCTAAGTTGCAATTTCATTACAAGGAAAACCTCCTTGACTGAGATTTGATAAGAAAGTAGTCTGATGGTATTATTCAACCAACTTCATGTGGGCTAACTGAAGTCTGGTAAATTAATATCAACTTTCCAGAATAACAAGTACTGAAGCACTCAGAACAAATGACCCCTGCAATTTATTTTATAAAAATCATGGGTAATTAAGAAAACTGATTAACTGAGGCTCAGTTTGGTGTGTGCTGTAGAGGTTCTTCATTTACAGTATGTATGGTGAAGAAGCACTGTATACATATATGAGCAAGAAATGAAGACATATAAAGCATTCAACATTTCTTCTAATCAGATTAGTGTTTCTTGTCACAGATCTTGCCTTTCAGAATTAAATCTTTCTTGCAACTTGATTTGTTTTTAGATGAAATATTAAAAATATATTTTTAGTCAAATATGTATTTATATACCAAGGATCCAGTGTTTTTGGATATAGTAAAAAATGGAACTCATCTTATTTTCTATTAATTATTGTAAAAAAATCCCTGATAGTGTTAGTATCTATACATCTAGCTCAACTATTTAGAAGAAACTAAATACCAACCAAAATCCTTCATACACTCTCAAATAGCATTTGGATTTTCTAATACGTATCTTTTTTTGAATGCTATCCCTTTTTTAAAAAAAAATCTAGTGCAATTAATAACACGAACTGTAAAATTTTACATTACTGAGATTTAACTGATGAATGAAGCAAATTGTTAAAAATTAAATAGATCTTTCTACAAGTGCAACCTTTAAAGCAACCACCGTAAAATCTGGAATGGTCAAGGTTTGTACGATTTTGTCAAATAAACTAAATCAAGACAAATAATATACAAAAAGTGCAAAATGCATGAATAAGTTGAAAGCTGTAAAAGTATATAATGCTTTTTATACTTTTGCTATTTAAAGAAACAGGCTAAGTAAAGCTTTTTAACGGATGTATTTATATTTAAATTAAGCTGAAATGTTCACTACTTTTTGCTGCCTTTGATATTTAGTCTATTAAAAACAAGTTTTCAACCTGGTTTTGAGCTGATTCATGTGCCTATTTTTGTATGTGTTCCCTTCCCAGAACCATTCATTTCCCTTTGAGAAACTTTTGATGTAATGAATTAGCTTTGTAAGTGTTAACATAAGCTTCAAAACCTATGTAACTGAGGAAAAATATGTGATGTGCTATGATCTGAATCAAATATTGTAAATGTTCAAAAGTATTTATTCAACATGCCAAAACCAACTATAGACACCATGTGAAAAATTGTGGCATGAACTGACCTTTTATCTTTTAAAAGTCTATACCTAATAAAGCTATGGCTTGCAGTTGCATCTTTCTGCTCTTAACAATAGTGATGGATAAGCCTATCTACACAATTCTTTTTTCTTCCCCACTTTTTTTAAGCAAACAAATTCCACAGGATTCCATTCCACAAAATTAAAAAAGAGGACCCCTTTTTTTTAACTTTGAAAAGTGGAAAATAAATTGTGCAAACTCTATATAGTAATACTGCTGGCTATGAAGATGTTCCTATGAAACATCCTGTGTCATTTATTGGCAGATGTGTGAACTAAAAGAGTCAAGAACATGCAAGTCTCCTTGTATAACATATAACACTACAAGGTCAGAACTGAACATTAAATTCCCCAAGAATCCAGAACAGGACAATTTAAATATATTGTGAACTTTTTTGCAGGAAGAAAAAGGAACAGATTTTAAAAGTTTACAATTTTAAAATATGTTCCTAAATTTTTCACTGTTCTTTGCATGAAACTTTTACATCAACCTTATTATTTCCTTCTGTGGACAGCTGTCATTCTCTATCTATCCTACTAGCAGGAAATAAACCTTTTAGAAAATGTATCCTTTAGAAATATGAACCAATGAAATTCTACCCATCCATGAATTTGAGTTATTCTTTATAACCTCAGTCAATATATGTTTTCTTATTAACTGGACTACAGCACTGATGGAGCCTATTTCAACTGGATTTGTTTTCTTCTGATAAAAATTATTACCAACTGAAAGCTCTGAAATTGTGTAATTCATCAAATTTTCAGAGCATGAGTCTCTTTACAAATTGTCTCAGATAATGGTAGTTTTTTTAGGAAATCTGTGAAATGGCAACCTTTATTTTCTTATAGTAAATTAATACTACTTGTATTTAATCCCATTAGCGGCTTATCTTTTTACTGGAAGATTTTTCTGTTTATCTAGGAGGTGCATTTTGCAAACTCAACAGAAACAAGTTTATGCTACAGAGAGATGGCTTCTGTCTCTGACATAAAAGAAAAGAAAATCCCAAACATGTGCTTCTTAATCTGCAAGAAGGAAAATACAAGGTTTTCACCTGCAAAACAATATCTAACAGGCAGTGATAAAGGAGTTTTTCAGTGGTAAATGTGCTTGTGGAAAAGTTTACAATGTGTATCGAAACTGCTTCTTGGGCAAATGAGATGACTTGTCTGAAAATATACTAATTTCTCAGTTCTGACCCCCGATGTTTCCCAGAGCTTCCCTGAAACCAACAACCAAAATCTCTCTCTCCCAAAAAGAAAAAAAAGAAAAGAAAAAAGAATGAATACGATATTGGCTGTTGTGCTACTTGCAGAAAAGAAAATCCTCATGTAGTATCAAATTCTGCAAAGTCAGTGCTTTGTAAAAAAAAGAAAACAAATTTGCATATATTACAGTTGTTACATTCTAAGCTAAACTAATTATACTGTGTCCCCAATTAACTGAGCACAAGAGCTAGTATACAGGGACACAGATATAAGCTGCATATTTTTCAAGAACACACAGGCTATCCCCTTGCACAAACACCCCTTGAAACACTCTTAAGTTTCAGATTTACTCCTTTTTACAGTGAGAAAAACTGCAAAAAGCTGGGCTTTTAAATTAAAATGTAACAAAGTAAACACAAATACAAACCAGCTGCAACCTACTTAACCTAAGCACAGCACCGCCAGGTTTGACACACACACACACACACACACACACACACACACAAATTTGGTGTTTCATGTTGGATAACCTTTCATTCTTTAAGGCAGTGGTTTCCACAAATCAGTTCAGAGAATATTAAGTAGCAGCAAGTCTCATGGTAGTTCATGTTGCATTCCATTCCCTGAAATCTTAGTGCTTTTATTCAGAACTTCAGAGGTTTACCATCTTTGCCCTAGCACAGAAGTACAGCTGGCATGCCTTCAACAGGACTTCTCAAACTGTGAAAGAGCATTCAAAAATAGTGTCCTGGATCAAATTCTGTAGTAGCTTGTCACTCAAAAGTCATCAAATTGGCAGGAACCTATAAACAGAAGAAATGATTTTGTAAAGAAAATTAGACATACAGCTTATGTTCCAGTTCAGAAATCATCCTAGTTTCCTGTTATGTAATCAAACAGTGACAAGACTGAGACTTATACGCTGCTTCCTATGGCACTAAAACTCGCAGAAATATGACTTCTTTCAATAATGGCTTGAGAATGAGGATCAGTAACTAACCTTTGGTTCTTGCTTATTCTCAAACTGCTCTTTTAAAAACAAATTACAGTTCTCATAGTCAGTTAAAACTAGAAACAGATGCTTCCAATCTTTTTCCATTGGTAGAGAAAAGAGGGGAGGTGAACATGAGAACCCTTCAACGAAGACCTAATGGTTCTTATTTTGTTTGCCATCAAACTATTCTCAAATTGCTCTTCAAAGGCTTCTCAGCCAGCCTGTGGAAGGAATCAAGTGGGGTGCCACAGAATTCAATCCTGGACCTGATATTCATTAACATTTTTTATTAATGATCTGGAAGATCATTAAGCTGCAGGGAATATTTATCACATTTCAGATGTAAAGTTGGGAGATTGAAGAATCAAACTGAAAATAATAGATTGAAATGTAACATTTCTCTGGAAATAATAAAATGTATATATGTATATGTACAGGATGGAGAATACCTGCTTTGGCAATAGTATATGCAAAAAGGGAGTTTTGTGAATTAGTAAATCACAAGTTGAATGTCAGGAGCTGATGTGACTGTAAAAAAGGAAATATAATCTTAGGCTGCATCAAGAAAGTAGTTTCCAAATAGTAGGATATTATAGTTCTACTCTGTTCCGTTTTAATCAGACCCTTATATACCATGTTTAGTTCTGAGCTCTCTATTTAAATAAGCTTTCAGAGAATGGCAGCAAAGATCATGCCTAGAAATGCTTAGGCAGAGGCTGGATATCTTTGCTGGGAAAGGTTTAGTCTGGATTCCTGCAACCATGCTTCTCTTAATTGGGATAGTGAAACAGGCAATCAGGTCAGTATGATTTCAGAAGCTGTTCCAGCTGCACATCCTATCTACCCTTCACAGGGCCATAACTATCAAATGCTCTGTGGAAGAGATCACCAAAAAAAGATCCCAACGCTTGCTCCATTTGGACTATCCCTTTCCCCACAGAGCCATTTATCACAATGGAAATTATTTTTATTTAATTTATTAGGCATCTGAAGCTTCCCAGACTCTAGGTGGCTTATGACAATAAGAAAAATTAAAACATTGATAGTAGAATACAAACAATAGGAAACACCCCACTAGAGACAATAAATACACAAAATAAATGGAGATGGAGATAACCTATTAACTGCCAAACAGCCTCCACAAATGCTGCTTTTAACAAGCTTTTGGAAGCCATCAGAAGCCAGTTTTGTTTCCAGGGGAAAGCTACCATGACCAAAAAATGTTTCCTGGGTTCAACCACCCTCACTTCACAAAAACAGGACTGCTTCAGAAGGTCCAACTGAGGTTGAAGAAGGTGGTCCTGAAGGTACCTACACACCAAGCCATAGAAGGCTTTGTAAGTTAAAACCCACAATTTGAATTATGCTTGAAAGCCTATTGCAGCCAATCCAGCACTGAGTGCCAGCTAACTGCAGTTTGGGGGTCATCTTCAAAGACAGCCTCACATACAGCAGATCGCAGAACTCCAAATGAGTGGTCATAAGAGCATGTTATTGTAGCTAGATCCTACTGCTTCAGGTACAACTGGCACATAACCAAAACTGGGCAAAGGCCCTCCTGGCCACAGCCTCCACCTGCAAATTCAGCAGTAGTCATGAGTCCAGAAGGAACCCCAAGTTGTAGTGCTTCTCTCTCAAGAGACAACACTAGAGCAGAGAGAGAAATGCAATGAACAAATAGCAACTTTGTCTTGCATGGATTCAACTGTAGCCTGTTTCTTTCCATCCAGTTCCCAACAGGTTCCAGGAATTAGGTCAAGACTTCAACAGCATCTCTGGATGAGCCCGGGGTAGCAATATAAATCTGAGTAGCATCAGCATACAGATGTTACTGCACCACAAACTGATGAATGACCTCTTCCAGGAGCTTCACATAGATATTGAAGGGCAGGGGAGAGACAGATGATTTTTGCTGTATCCCATGTGAGCAACTATTGGGTTGACTTTTCCTCCTCCCCAACCACTGATTAGAATGGTCCATTCAGGAAGGACCAGAATCTGAACCCCCCTGCAGAATCACTGTAAAATAGTGCCTCCAATCCCGACCCCCACAGGCAGTCCAGAATACCATAGGTTGATGTCAAAACCTGCTAAGAGCCTAAAGGACCAAGAAGGTGTAGTCAGCCCATCTAAGTCCCAAAAAGGTAATAAATTAGAATGACCAGTACCATCTTGGTCCCATGCCTGGGTTTAAACTGAAACTGAAAAAGTCCAGAGAAGTTACTTCTAAGGCACTCTGAAGCTGAATCCCCACTAGTATTCAACAACCTTCCATCAAAAGGGAAGGATGGAGACAGGGTGATAGCTATCAAACATAGCTGAATCCAAAGAGGGATTCTTAAGGAAGGGGTGTGTACCACAGTCTCCTTCCAAGCTGCCAACACCACCCTCTCCTGAAGTGAGGCACTGACAGCTACCTGGATCTAGCCCATCATACTCCCACCAAACCTTTGTAGCAGCCAGGAGGGGCATGATGTAGCTCACAAGTGACAAGAGTCATGTCAGAGAGCACCCTACCTACTTAATCTGAATCAACAGGCAAAAAGGAGTCCCAAATAATATGGTAAGAACGCCACCCCTGTCACACACTGGACTACAAGGGAAGTTGCCACCCTAAATAATGCTGCTGGCTGACAGCCCGCTGATGAAATGAGAGAGGAAAATTACAAATGCTTCACCTCCCTTGTTATCCCAGTGTAAGCTTAGACTTTAGCTTGGGTCTGTGCTCAGTCAGGTTCAGTTCTAGTGTTCCTTCACCTTAAAAACAACATATACTTGCCTTTAAAAAAGTTGTTATTGTGATATGACTATATATATATATATATAGTCCTAAAGACACAATAAATGAACACAAGATTATATAAGAGTGACATTATTTGGAACGGGGAAAGGTTAATTATAGTGGACAAAACATCTAACATTCTTTGCATTATATTATGTGATAATTCACAAGTTATAATTTCATAATTATATAAGTATATACATTTTACACTAGAGTACAGGGCTGTGCAAAACATTTAGAGGGATAGATCCCAAGGCACACTGATACAAACAAAGTGCCCCTCCTCAAAGCACTGAGAAGGGACTCCAGAGAATGTGAATGCTCCAGAGGCTTTCTCAGCTTCCATAATGTGTGCAGGCACAGCCACTTTACTCTTCTGGCAGTTCCACGCACACAACTTACAGCAGCTTTTGAAGCAGCTATGCCAATTCTTCTGGAGGATGTGGCTGCCCAGTGCTTCAAGGAAGGTGTTTCATTCATACCAAAGTGCATTGAAAAGCATCAGTTTTTTGCTGATTTGATCAGTTGATTGCTGTCTCATATTAGCTAATTGTGCTATTTTCTTATACTTTCTTGGAATAAAGCCTAATGTACTTATATAGTGTAGTCAATGCTTCCTAATCTGCTGGGCTTGGGATAGAGCAATACAGCAACACACGCTTTTTTTGTGTTTTCTAAGGTACCACTCTGTATTCAGCTCTCACTGGTAACTGAAGCATGAGTTCATAATTCTTGCTCTCTCACCTGTTGTCTGTTGCTTTGGCAGGCAGCACTCAGATGCTTGAACCACAGCATTGCATTCATTCTGTTACCAGCTTGAAACTTATACGAATTCCCTGAATGACAAAACGAAGGAGTTTTCTATTACAAATAATTAAAATAATCTCGTACTTTAAATTAAGCAACATTAAAAAAAAAACTAGTGGATGGAATTCAGTTGTATGCTTCCGCTAACTAAATTTATTGATTATCCTCACTTGAACACTCTCAAAATCCACTTGACAGAGTCCCCTAATCCTCTGGAGCAGATCTTATAGGCATTTCTTTGTCCTATCATACAAAGAAAATCCAGCAATGGATACTACCAATATTTTTTAATAGACAGATAGAATATGTAATGATACAGCCAATCAAGAATGCCCTCTGAGAGAAAGTTGTAGCGTTGTAAACATATGTCTAATATGGACATGGAATAAATCAAGAAGACTTATTTTATATAACATTTTACATGCAGTATAAAGTCATCCCCATCACAAATTATTCACTCATAAGGTAACTTCGCAGCTATCTGCTAAGAAGGCAAAATCCACCTGAGACTCATTTTCCTGGCACATGGAGTTTTTGAGTTGCTGTAATAATGTTCCAGGCCAGAAACTCTTTTCTCCATTTTGACAGTTTGGGTTGGATGACTTATCAAAACTAAAGACTAACCCTCACACTGCTTGCATTCCAAATTCCCCTTATTAGTCACCAGTTCTCTGGGAAATGTGGGATAGATTTTTGTTTTCAAAGAAGGTAATTTGATTAAAATATTCAAATGACTTTCCAGCAAAAGATAAACAAACATCTATTAATAGTTAATGCAATTCTTTTTAGTGCTATCTTCAAAAATTAGGGTTAGGGACCCATTCAAACTATAATTAAGAAATAGTGAGTTCAACAGTCTATGGAAAATGGACTGGAAAAGTTATGTAAGTATTTGGGATTTGTTTTTATTATTTATTTTATTCCATTTGGATGCCGCCCAACTCTAACCGACTCTGGATGAATGGTTGAAAACTAATTTGTTCCATGTGGCTATTTTGTTTTTTCTTTGTATGTGTGTGTTTCAACTATTTATAAGACATTTTAAGTGAAAAGGGAATTTCCTCTCAAAAGGTTTTCAAATGTTCAGTCAAGAAAAAGCATTTAATAAATGTAAATATCACTTGATTAAGCCAAATTGGACCAAGTACTTATAATTCTTCTACAAAGATACCTGTGGTTTTCAGATCAATTGTTTCTATTAACATTTGCTACATCACAGCTCACTACTACAATTAAAGCCAGAAGGAAGTTAATTTTGTATTACAGTAATTTAACAACTCATTGATTTAACAACTAATCACAGGGAAGGGGTATCCATTAAATGTAAAAAACTTTTAACAAATAACAACAACCACTGATGTACAATAATAGGGAAGGGATATCCATTAAATGCCAAATGATTTTTCAAGCCACAAATGTACATCAAAGGTCTGTTCAGCAAATCAGTCCAGACAATATTCACTGTTCCCCTTCAAAATTGGATTCAGTATTATCAGTAAAATAGGTTAATACTGAATCTCATTTTGAAGGGGAGCAGTGAATACTGCCTGGACTGATTTGCTGAACAGACTTTGACCATTTTGGGGGGTGAAATCTGTTAATGTCTAATTTGGACAAAGGTGGATACTACAGAGTTTGTTATGTCTAAAGACTATTAAACCAAGAGTTTATTACTATTAACTAATGCTACTGACCTTTTTCAGAATCTGTAAGTAGGAAAAGATCCGGATGATCTGGATCATCAGCCATCATAACCATCCAACCCACAACTGACACATTCTTACTTGGTGTAGATTTGAACTAGAGGTGGGGGTGAAGGGAACATCAATGAAAGGAAAAATATGAATGAAAAGGGTACAGCAACATTTGCATTAAAAACAACAGCACCAAGAAGAGAAAAATTGACTTGCTTGCTTTTGTAATGCAACACAGATTAAGAAAACTCAAAAGGGATGCACTATTTTATATACCCCAGAGTTAATCCGGGACAATCATGGGATTGGACCTTGATCCACAAACAGGTGTGACACCTAAGCAAGTGATATCAAGGGATATTTCTGCCCATTGTGGAAAAACCTCTTTTTCTTTGAATCTCCTTGTGTGTTCTGAAAGTTGCCATCTTTCCATAGACAGAAAGACTGAACTGAATTTATAAGGCTGCTTGCACAAATTCCAGATTTGTACCTTTCAGCAGGAAGTACAGCAGGAATTTGGAATTAGTTTTAAAAACTGCTACAAGTTGCTTGCAGCAAAACTCAAGATGGGGAGATTAAAATAGGGGAAACAAGTAAATAGTATATTTAGACAATATGAAGTTTATAGAATAATAGCAGTTCAGTGCTGCAGAACACAGCATTCACAGTGAAAGACTGAAAAAAAAAATCTTTCTCCTGCCAAGGACTATCCCTATAGCTAAAAGCAAGAATACAATACATACGTGTTTTCTCTCTGTTGCCTTCAAAGACTTTGCAGCATAGTAGAAAAGCTGTGTTCCACACAAAGCCACCCAGTATTTTGTCCAAGAAGCTACCTACATGATTAGACAATCACGAGGTTAATAAATCCAAAATGTGTCTGCCATTCCATCTTAATTTTGTATATATTTAAGTCCTATCCATTTTACACATTAACCAAGCAGCATGAGACTTTCAGGACATTGTTAGCTGTAATCCACAATATATACTGTAATATAAATTGGAAAAACATTCTGTGCGTTAGCCTAGTTTAGTAAAGATGGAAATTTAAAAACATATACTTAGCACTGATTCAGGATTCTCAGATTGCAATGTGCTAAGTCACCCCAAGACCAAATCAGTGCAACAAGTAACATCTCTTCCCAATCTAGGACTTGAGAAACTACCAAGAAAACAGAACAGTATGCTGTGGGCCACCAAACCAATGTAGAAATGAAAAACCCTTTCCAAACTGTGCAGATTTTCATGCTAGTCACAGCACTGATGCCACTGTTTATAGAGACACATATAAGCCACTATATCCTTTACTGCTGAAGAATTTTCATTATAGTCCATATCACTGGCTCATATGTAAGACTGGCCTGAAGGGGGAAAAAAAATCCTTAATGCATATCCTTGGAACGCCTTTTACCCCATTAGAGACACTTGTCTTCCTATCTGATAAGCTCAGGAACAACCAGTTATTCCTGGTTATCATAATTGGATATCTACATATTCAAAGCTCATTGAACAAAAAGTGGAATTAGCAAGATAACCTTGACCCAAATTTAGATTAAATTTAAAAATAAATGTTTTTATAATTTCTAAGACCATCATAAGTGTCTGTATGCAAATAGGCATTGGCATTCATCTTCCTAAAGAGGACCTCCTTAGATCTGGCTGGATCAGACAACCTCAAATGCCTAATCTTGCCTTTCTAAGGAAATGTTGGTACAGTAGAGGAAGTAGGTTATCTGTATTGTTTTCAGACAGGGTTCAGGCCTGAGCAGGGGACAGAAAATACTTTAGTTGTACTATGCTGGTCTATAACCATAATAAAGATCTGATTTGATTTAGTTGCACTGGTGCATCATCTAATGTGGGACTTGGATAAGTGTACTAAACCCTTCATGGTCTGTTCAGATCTTCTAGCAGCATTTGATACCATATCAACCACAGTATGTTCTAAGCTGCCTGCAAAGGTTAGAAGTTGGAGGCTCTGTTTTACAGTGGTTCCACACCTTCCTGATGGGTAGTACCAGACAGTGTGGTGGGCTAGGAGAGATCTACCTCTCAGTTGCTCCAATGTGGAGTACCATATATCTCTTTTCTCTACCCCAGGTGTTTAACATTTACATCAAGCCTCTGGGAGAGGGCATCTGTCAGTTTGGGGTGAGATCATCAGTACTGAGCCAGTGATATGGTTGAAGTCCTGACCTAGTGCCTGCAGGCTGTAAGAAGGGGAAAAACAAATTAAAGTTGAATATCAGCAAGAATGAATTCCTGACCAGAAACCATCTGGCTCTCTTTCCACTCTGGATTTCATAGCACTCTCTCTGAAGATGACTTGGGGCTCCTCCTAAACTTGGGGCTATTACTAGATAGGCAGGTGAAAGCTGTAACTAGGGAGGCCTTTGAAAGCTTTGGCTGTTGCTCCAGTTCAGTCCTTCCTGAAGAAGGAGGCCTGGCAACAGAGTCACACACCTTTGTCTCCTCCTGCCTAGATTACTGTAATGTGCTATAAATGGGGCTGCCTTTGAAGGCTACTTGGAACTGGCAAGTAGTTCAAAATGCAGCAGCCTGTCAGCAAGGAACAGCTGCACTTTCATTTAACACCAGTGCTTCAGGATCTGCACTAGTTTTCAAGACTTCTGGTACAATTCAAAGTGACCTATAATGCCCTATATGACTTAACAAGATTGTCTCTGTCAAGTGAATCCTACAGTGGGGCAAAAAAGTATTTAGTCAGCCACCAATTGTGCAAGTTCTCCCACTTAAAAGCAAAAAAGTATTTAGTCAGCCACCAATTGATTTACAAATAAATTCTTTTAAAATCAGACAATGTGATTTTCTGGATTTTTTCCCCCATTTTGTCTCTCATAGTTGAGGTATACCTATGATGAAAATTACAGGCCTCTCTCATCTTTTTAAGTGTGATTTACAAATAAATTCTTTTAAAATCAGACAATGTGATTTTCTGGATTTTTTCCCCCATTTTGTCTCTCATAGTTGAGGTATACCTATGATGAAAATTACAGGCCTCTCTCATCTTTTTAAGTGTGATTTACAAATAAATTCTTTTAAAATCAGACAATGTGATTTTCTGGATTTTTTCCCCCATTTTGTCTCTCATAGTTGAGGTATACCTATGATGAAAATTACAGGCCTCTCTCATCTTTTTAAGTGTGATTTACAAATAAATTCTTTTAAAATCAGACAATGTGATTTTCTGGATTTTTTCCCCCATTTTGTCTCTCATAGTTGAGGTATACCTATGATGAAAATTACAGGCCTCTCTCATCTTTTTAAGTGTGATTTACAAATAAATTCTTTTAAAATCAGACAATGTGATTTTCTGGATTTTTTCCCCCATTTTGTCTCTCATAGTTGAGGTATACCTATGATGAAAATTACAGGCCTCTCTCATCTTTTTAAGTGTGATTTACAAATAAATTCTTTTAAAATCAGACAATGTGATTTTCTGGATTTTTTCCCCCATTTTGTCTCTCATAGTTGAGGTATACCTATGATGAAAATTACAGGCCTCTCTCATCTTTTTAAGTGTGATTTACAAATAAATTCTTTTAAAATCAGACAATGTGATTTTCTGGATTTTTTCCCCCATTTTGTCTCTCATAGTTGAGGTATACCTATGATGAAAATTACAGGCCTCTCTCATCTTTTTAAGTGAGATTAAATTTAAAAATAAATGTTTTTATAATTTCTAAGTTTAAGTGGGAGAACTTGCACAATTGGTGGCTGACTAAATACTTTTTTGCCCCACTGTATCTGGTCAGTGTGCATATCCCTGGGAGGGATGCTGATGGTTCCTTGCCACATGAGACCCAAGAGAGGACAAGTCCTTAAATTTCTCTGTAATAGCACCTACCCTATGGAACAGCCTCCCACTGGCAATCTGGGTAGCACCATCTTTCCTACTTCAGAAAAGCTGTTAAAATGAAACCATTCAGAAGGGCCTCCAATTAAGATTTCTGATATGCCTATTATTTTATGGTAGAATAAATTATTATGGTTTGATATATTAGTATTGGCTTTGAGATTACTGTTAGGCTTATTTTTGGTTTTTAATTGTAAACTACCATGAGTCCATGTGGACTGTGACTATGTATCTGTCTGTCTATCTATCACAATTCTGGGTGGTGTGATATTAATAAATAATGATAATATTAATATATTAGTATTAGAATTTTGCTTGCTGTATCTGCTATCAGCTCAGAGATTCTTCAGACAAATACTAATTCACTGAAGGCTGCTAACCATTATTTTATAGGATAGTGGCTTTTCATAGTGCAAAAGCTGTTCATTAAATGACTGATCTGATGATGTGGAAGATCCCCAAACCAATGTAAATTTATATCCAGGTCCCCAAAGGTACAAGCTATTACCTGGGCACTAAACTACTGTCACTCCAAGTTATTTTTCAGCACCATATACAGGAAGTGGTTTGGAGGGGTAGCTGCAGGGATTATTTGAATCAGTCATGAGATATCCTGCCACAATTTGCATTTACATGTATCCCATTTTTTTTTATCAACTGACCTCTAAATACTTTACGATCTACTGCATTCTAAGTAACTAAAATGCTTGAGCAATCACTGCTGATCTAATTAAAACAAATAAACTGAAATATTTTTGAAACAGAAAAAGCCAATTTGGGAAGCACTTTAAATAATTTATTTAACATCTTACTGTAGGTTTCTTCCCCTCTTTCAACAGAGTTTTTCTTCTGAGAACACCTTGAATAGTAACAGCTCCTGGATACAAATGAACAGCTAAATCTTCAGACTCTGCAGAACTAAAAAAGAAGCATGTGTAAAGTATGGGAAAGTACTACGTATTTCAACAGATAATCCAAACATATTATATCTGTTTCCTTATGTAAAATACTGCCATTTCAATTATTGGATTTCATTATGGAAAGATACTAACTTTTAGAAGGATTATTATATATTTTACTTGCACAGCACAAGTTAACATGCTAAGAAAGACTTTCATTTTAGCAACTGACTTATAAATAACTATAAATTTTTTATATTATGATAAAGAACTACAAATAATTCTAACTAGCAAAAGGCTTGGAGTCAACTTCACTTTAACAACTCCTTTCAAACATTTTATTTTTAAATGGTTCTTTCTAGATTTTTCCAGACCTGCTTAAAAAAATATTGGGTTTACGGTAGTCATCTGAGTTAATGAATAAAAAGTATAAAAAGAAAAACAAAGAAAAACAGCAAGAGCTTAATACATGCACAATACCATACCAAGATATTTGAATGCAATAATAGAAGCAGCAGGAAAGCAGAAAGCCTGGCCCAGAGCAGTTAAATAAAGCTGTTGTAACATAGGCTGTGTTCTAACAAGTGAGCAGCTGACCAGCTTTTAATGACAGGAAATATTTGACTGCACAAGTGTTTGTGTAAGTGCATACCAAGCAACTTATGTGGCACAGCCATCAACTCTCCAGAGACAGGCTAAGAAAGTAAAAATTTCTGAAACATCTTGGAAAATTTCTTCCATACATCCTTTGACTGTTAGCCTATAAACTGAGAGAGCTGACAAGCTGAGCCTTCCAGATGTCCAAAAGTTAGCATACGCTTGTCCACATTACACCAGATTTTAAGAGTTATTTGAGCTAGGTTCTCTCATAAGTGCAGTATAACATAACGTTTACTGAGGAATGTAAAAAGGCCTTGATGTGAATGAATGGAAGTGGTTTTTCATAAAATGTTATTCAAAGAAACTTTAAGGCAAGGACTGCTCTGTTCTTTGCATAGCATTACCAAGGGCTGAACTCCAAACATGAGAGAGACCAAAGTGAATGGGAGCCCTTTTACTTTTCATTTTATTATATTATATTATTATTATTATTGCAAAAATTTAAAAAAAACTGTTTTTTTCCTGGTAAAAGGCATTATGGCACTGAGACTTTTCCTTATTGACATGGTTTTCTCTTCTAATAAAAACTGCCATAGGTATTTTGGAGAGGTCCACAGCATGGTGAGGTAGGGGAACAGGCAGGGATGGGGAATGGGAACTGAAATTGGGGGACCTGCTACCAGTTATCCTGGTTCTTTTTGCATTTCTGGAAATAATGGGCAGCTGATTTACAATTTATATGGCTCAGAATGAAAGAAAACAGGAACATTTTAACTCTCACTCAGTCTTCAAAGCTCCAACATCATTCTTGCTACCCAATTACTTCCAGTACCATCCAGTATCATAAATGATGCTTCAGAGGGTTTTTCTAAGTGGAGGGGTAAATAAAGCATTTGGGGGATTTTCTGAGTAATATTATGCAATGAGATAGGCAAATTAAAATGAGCCAGCCATACTCTGTGAAGATGTAATTAAGTTGTAAGACAGAAGTCCTGTTTGGATAGAGAATGTTCACTGACATGATACGTCAAGATAGTTAGAAAGAACAAGAGTGTCAGATTACACCCAGTTCACTATCAAATCAGTCACCAACACCAGAGGAAAGTGTCTGGCCCTTGAACGCAAGGAATTAGTACCTGCTGCCCTTCGTGTGGCTCCAATAGCCATTTCGAGCTATTCTTGTCACCGGACCAAGAGAATGGTACAATCTGTTCCTGTTGGATTCCATTATAAATGGTATGCATTACATTTTTGGAATACATAGTCATCATTTGTTAGAACACTATAATAAGCTTTCCTTTCTGCTACATTGCTACTTCCTCTTGTTTATGATCACCAGTGTATTTAAGTTTTTAAAAGATCTGTTTTTATTTGGACACATGTTCTTCGTGTGAACACATATAACAGTAGAATATTCTTACTGGCATCCCAATGAATGCTTAGATAATCAACATCTTAAATAATAACATCAGCAGCTAAAACAAGACAAGACATTGTTAAAAGCCAAGTCATTGGACAGCAATATGGTCACCTTAGAATATGAAAACATTCCCTCTTATATTGGTTCAGCAGTGTACCTTGGCTTTTTCTCCTGAATAAGCTTTAAGGATTATGAGAAAGGAAGTGATACTGGGGAGAGGGGAGAATAATCTTAAGGCTTCTATTTGTGAAAACTCTTTATGGCAAAACTGGAGAGCAAAATCCCGATGGGCATATACCATGATATCTCTGCCAAATCAGAATTCCCACTTATTTATTGTATATATTATTTTGTAAGTCTATGTTATAACCAGTACAATTTACAATCCTATGTTGACATAATTTTAGTATTTATTTAGAATATATAAACACTATTTTTCAACAAAAGTATTCTTAAAAGCAGACTGTATGGTAATTTTTAAGGCAATCTGAATAATCTTAACACTAAAGCTTCTATTAGTACCATGCACATTCTTCTGAGTCTTGCAGATTAAATGACTCCAATTCTTAGCAGTCAGTTATATTAGAAGTCCTTTTTCCAAGCCCTTGTTTCTTTGTAAGGTCTTCAGCAGCTATAGGGAAGAGCCATCCCTTCCTGAAAATATTACACCAAACACGAGTTCCAGCTAATACAGTGGTAAATGTCCCAAGATGGTCTTCATTTTGATTTACTTAGATCCTGTATCTTCTTAACTAACAGGCAGGGTTATTCAATGAATCAAATAAGCCATGGCACATTTGAAGCCATGATGTTTGATAAAACCTATGACTGCCTTCTAAATACTTCCAAATGGGTCTGCCTTTTCTTCCTTAGAATTGTTTTTGACCATATGGTGTTAGAGAAACAGTACTGTAATGTCAGTGAAGCATTCAGAACTGTAATAGAAAGAACCTCAACTGCAAACATGACTAATCAAAATGAATACGTTTATGGTAGTTACTTGGGTAAAATGTCTCCCATGTCACACAGTCAATTCATATTAAACTATAAATAATAAGGCAGGAACAACACACAATGCAAAAAAGCTTCTATCAATAAACCTATACAGGTAGTCCTCAACTTATGATGGCAATTGGGACCAGAATTTCTGTTGCTAAGTGATGAGGTCTTAAAGTGCAACCAATTATTGCAATCCCTGCAGTCCCAGTTGCCATTGTTAAATAAATCCCACAGTCGTTAGGGGAGACAACTTCCTGCTGGCTTCTCACAACCAAAGTCAGTGGGGAAGCTGGCAGAAAGCTGTAAGTCCCAGGCCTGTAGACAGGTAGGTGGCTGCTGCCGTGTGGGGGAGGGAGCAAGGGGGTGCAAGGGTGAGGGGGGTTGGGGAAGGTGTGCAAAAAGCACATCATGGTGTGGGGAGGGTGCGTGAGGGAGAATTGGGGAGGATGCATGGGGGTGCGTGAGTGGCTGACGTGGACGAGCGTAGAGGAGCTAGGGGAGGGTGTGCAGGTGGAGGAGACTTACCCCAAGCAACTTGCAACCTTTCCTGCTGGTTTCTCCACTGACTATGTGGGGAAGCCGCAAGAAGGCTACAAATGGCAACTGCGTGGTTGTGGGGTGCTTGGCAACTGGTCGTAAATGTGCACGGGTTGCCAAGCACCCAGATCATGATCACGTGACTGCGAGGGTGCTGGGGCAGCCGGAACTCTGAGGACCAGTCGTAACCACCATTCAAGCGCTATCATAACTTGGAATGGTTGCTGATCAAATGGATGTAGGTCGAGGACTACCTGTATTAACATTGATAGATTTATTGTTGCATGCATATTACTGAGCAAAACTGCATCAAAGTAGTGGCCTGAAGACATGATTTAAGCAAGGGAAGAGAAAATATCTAAACAGCTCACCCTGCAGAGGAAGAACCTGCAGTTTTATAGGATCGACTGTGATGCTACTAGCTTGTTATGACACTTGATTTGTACTGAGCTGGGAGCTGCATAAGCACCTCAGATCACTTCCACTAGTGGTGCTTACATTTTTATCAGATGATCAATGTCTTGAAAGCTGCTCAATGATATACAAAATAAAAGTAGTTTTCTAGAAACAGTAGTAGATTTACAGCATGTTTTTTAAAAAGTCAATCATATATGTTGACTAAGACAGAAAATAGACTCATCTAGCTGTTCTGAATAGGTAAGGTCTTGCTGTTCTAGGGAACATCTCAGGACAACTATTACTTGGGTTTTATTCCAAGCCCAGACTGTAAATGGGAACTTCAACTTTGGAAGCTTCTTTCAAGAGTCTCTTAGCTAGCTATAGCTAGATGATGAACCACTCATATAGGTACATTGAGCAAACCTTTTAGAAATCAGGATTCTGGATTCTGGGACTACTGCCAATACATCAGTGACAACAGACCCTCCAGACAACTTGCATGATTGGACTGTTTTACCCATTATTCTTTTCCTCACATATACAATCCATGTGTAGGAAAAGCAGAGCACCTGGCACACTAACCTATGTGGAAATGTAAAACTCTCATATGTTAAATACACATTTGAATAAATATAAAATATAGTGACTTCTCTTACCTTTCAAATGCTGGCCATGAAGTTTCTTCACTGAGCTCTGAACCATCACTGCTACCTAAAATCAGAATAAGTGAGTCAACTAAAAAAACCCATTCATTCTATGATTTCCAAGGCATGAAAAATGTTTCAAGAAACGCTTGTGAAAATTACCCATAATAAAACTGACCCAACTGCAACGAACGTTTGTTCAAATAGAAAACTCTTTATTTCTGGGAGTCTTGTTTGTGAGATTGTTTTAATTGCATATACTAGTTTTTATGTTTAATTTCTCTCTCCCCACTTGACTTACCAGTTAGAACTCACTTAAATTCTAATAGTTTAATTGCATAATGTTAAATGAATATATATGTAGTACTAGTCCTTTGTTTAGTACATAAGTAAGCTTTTGTGCATCTTTTTTCTTCTTTCACATGTTTATGTGTCTCTATGAAAGAAATGGAATAGAACAATAATAACTTAGCACCATCTTCTGGAATCAGCCAACCAAACATAGGAAAAACCTCTAAAAAACAGTGCTACCACCTCCCATCTCTGAACAGATATTCCAGAAGGATATCATGGATGGTTGTATCAAAAGCCACTTAAAGATCTGAGAGAATCAACATGGCTTCAGTCTTCCTGTTTTTCTTGGGAAATTATGGCTACAGAGCAACAAAAGCAGGTTCCGCCCCCCACCCAGTCCTAAAACCAGCTGAAATGCATAAAGTCAATCAATGTCATCAAAATGGAAATGTAGGCATCAGAAAATACTTGCTCAAGCACTTAAGAAAAAAGTCACCAACCAACCTATATTTATCCGCTAGTTCTAGTTAGGTTTCTTCAGGAATTGCCTTATTGTCAGTTTCAAACAGACCTGAATGCTATTGTTTTCAAAAGGAGCTAATCTCTTGGATCATTTCCCTCATTAGATACAACGAACTCAGAGAAGCAATAGTTGAACATGAAAGTAATGGCTGAAGGGCTGACAGGCTGATAAGAATTTTTTATCCAGTGGCCAATAAGGTTATATAACAAGTAACAATTCAACAATTACTCTCTCTATATATATCACAGAGTGGAAGAAAGGAAAAGCGATTACAACATTAAATCTAGTCCCATTTTTTTGCAATTTTATTCTACAATTTTTATTCTTATTTCTTGAATTTTTATATCAAGATTATTATGTGAACAGTGAGGACATGCAATATCATTAGTTTAATTGAGTAAAACAGTACACAAAATATTATTGTGCTCTAAACCTAAATATATAATTTTTTTTGCTTTGCCAATTACTGCAACAGTTATTGCAGCGTTCTGTGGGTGACACCCTGCTGGAATACATGTGAGTTAATTTTCAAGAATGTGTGTTTTAATCTCTATAGTATAATCTTAAAATATTCTGAACATTAAAGCCCATAGACAGAAAGTTTCTTGCAGAAATGATTAAAATAGATCTGTGTCAGACATGTTTTACTACATATATAAATATTCAATGAATTATTAATCTCTTCATGTCATCTTCTAGGAGAAACCTGTGGGCATATGATGTTACAAGCATCTAATATTTCAGTAGCATAAATAGGGTTGAGATGTATAGCTGGTATCATTAGCATATTCATGATACCAGCATGGGATCTGGTATCATGAATGACCTCTCCCAGTACTTTCATGTAGATGTTGAAGAGAAGAGGGGAGAAGAGGAATCCCTGAGGGACAGCAAAACATAGAGGTCTCTGGGTAGATCTCCCACTACTACCAGCTGGAACTGCCCCTTTAGGAAGGAGAAGAACCATCGTAAAACAGTGCCTACCACTTTAGTCCAGAAGGATATAATGGTCAATGGTATTGAAAGCCAATGAAAGACCAAGGAGGACCAGGATGGTTACACTCCCCCAATTCCAGTGTCTCCAAAGATCATCAACAAGTGTGACCAGTGCAGTTATATCCTGGCCTGAACCCTGATTGCCAAGAGTCCAAAATAATCCACTTCCTCTAGGACTCTCTGTAGCTGTAGGGCAACCACTTTCTCTACAACATTTCCTAAACACAAAGTTGGAGAAAGGTCTATAATTGTCTAGGATTGACAGATCAAATGAAGGCTTCTTGTGCAAAAGGTGCACCACAGCTTCCTTTAAATACCCCTTCCTCATAGAAATGTTGACAAATGTCCAAATCTGTGCCTTACGGCTAGTCAAGACCTCCTGTGAGGTGACAAGAGATCTTGACTAGCCGTAAGGCACAGGGATCTAACTAAGACATAGAACTAACACTGCAGAGGGCCCTATCCACTTCCTCAGTACTCAAAATTATCCCAGATCACATCAGAAGCCCCAGTCATTTCCATGGTCTAGAACCCAACTCTTCTCAAATCTGAATGGTTTGTCCGCTAAATGCCATGAAAATTCCTGACGGTGGCCCTTAAGATGATGCTGGTGAACATCCTTTTCTGAAAGGGAGCAGGTTATCTTAGAAAGTGTTGCTGGGTGGCATTCAGCAAACAGAGTAAGGGAGACAAAATACTTCATTTTTGCCACCTGAATCACCACTGTGTGAGCTTGAACTTAGGCTCATACTAGTATTCAGTCACTCAAGATCGTTCTTTCTCCAACTGTGCCTTAGGATATCCTCTGCTGCTTCATCACGGAGTTCCTTAGTAAATTAAACAGCAGCAGCAGATCTGCATGCAAGGACAAACTGCTCTGTTGCAATCCAGTCTATGGCCCTGAATGCCCTATTATTCAAATGGGTAACCAGTAATTTGGCTGAACTGCCTGCCAGATCCCTGGAAAATTCCCCAGGAACCCTCTGAAAACCCACAAAATCCATTAGATGCCTGGGGTAGACCAAGTTAATGAGTCCTTCCCCAGTGGAAGGAGGGGTTGCTACATATAACTTCATAGCAATCAGAGAGTGATCTGTCCTTGACAACAGTTGAATTCAATATCCCCCCACTTTCAGATCACATTGCATCTGTGTTGAAATAAAAACCAGATCTAGTGTGTGACCTTTCATGTGCATTGGGTCCTTGAAAATGTGGCCTCATTCTAGTTTATAATAAAGACTGTTACAAGTGTCTGAAAGACTTCAGCCAAATCAAAGCTAGCAACCTAGCTAAGCCACACGAAGTCAGTGGATTGAGATTTATGTCAAGTTCTGATCCACTGAGCCAGACAGTTGATGGCTATATTTTTAGTTATCTTTCACTGCAAAGGAGGCTGGCACCTTCTTTCCCATTTACCTACCTTTTTCTCTCCTTCCCCCCTGCAATTTTTCTAACCATTTTTCTAACCCCACGCCATTCCTATGTGGGCAGAGGAATTGAAGACTGAACCCAGAGATTGTTTTTGCATGAGGCTTCTATAGGACTCTACCCTAGACATTGAAAAGGATAATAATCCTGAATAATTTGTACAATATAGAAGTTACTTTAAATCCAAAATGAACAGGCCATGAACTCAGTTTGCAGTTTGCACAAGTTTATCTTCTCCCATTAACCTAGGTATGCTGTGTGGATCCCTATGATGCTTTAAGCAATATGGGAGAGAGGTAGCATATAAATATAACGGAAAAAAAATGCAAATTTGAATTTCAAAAGACTTTTTTTTACTGACTGAGATAAAATCTCACCTATTGAAATTCCACTGGAAAGAGTGGAGCTCTCCGCCTGCCCCCGCAATGGGGCATGTGGTTCCATGACACTATCATCTAAAAGATGCCTTGGTCCTGCATTTGGGAATGTTGCACTTTTAAATTCTGCCGTGTTCATTTTATGAATGAAACTAGAAAAAGATTCAAATATGTTAAGACTGATCACATGATTAGTTTAAAACATTAAATATAACATAGTACCAAAACTATATTTACAGTCATAGATCAGCTGTCAATATACAATCCAAAGGAAAAGACAGAATAAAGACGAGTAAAAAAAAATAGACTTTAAAAAACTAAAAGTTCACAAGAATCAAAGAAAACTTAATCTTATACATGATGTGAAATAAACTGGCACAGGTAGATGAGTTACATTTAATATTTTTATAATAAGATTCTACAATGTTTGCTACTTTCTTCTTTCTATGTATATGTATAACTCTATAAACAATTGGCAAATACTTATGAATATGGACTGTTAAAGAATGGATTCCAATGTTACACTTAGAACTGGGCATGGAAAAATTAAAATGTTATTAGGAAATTAAGTATGCTATCAATGTTTAAGTATTGATTTTTCTCTACCACAAACACACTAAAAGAGAGGCTGCCAACCACATTCACTATCATGAAGTGATTCACAATCATGAAGTTTTATGTATGTACTTTGCAGTTTAATACCTACAATTTTTGGAACGAATGTTTAAATATGAGGATTAACTGTGTTTTATTTTTTTTTCTTTTTCTTTTTCTTAGGGCAAGAGGACGATTAGAAGCAAGGTGGAGGAACTTAGTTACTGTGGTGACTAGTGCACCATTGGAAGACCTGAAGGACCATGTTAGGGACAAATCATCATGGAGAAAATCTACCTATGTGGTTGCTAAGAGTTGACACTGACTTGATGACACTTAATCAATCAATGTGTGAACAATCTGGGTCCAGTGAATAAATCAGTCTGAAATCATGGCTTGTTAGTTTAATGACTAGACTAGAACTTGCCACTAAATTGTAATTTTTTAAAGTGACATCAGGGAATTTTTTTCAATGCAAGGAAAATGATACTATGTGAACAGAAACACACAATTTTCTTTGTGGTTTCCTGTCTTATTCTTAATTTTTTTTGTTTCCTGAATAACAGAAAGGAGTCATTTAGATCACTGAGTTCACCTGCTAATCCAAATCTCCCACTCAAAGTTCTAACAATACACAGAGGTATAAGGCAAGGGAAATTAAAACAGAATAGAAAAAAAATTCTGGAATCAGCTGAACAATGATTACTTTTTGATAGTAGCAAATATGTATAGCTCAAGGTTGGCATATTGTATTGTTAGACTTCTCTGTTTTGGGGTTCTAACAATGCAATGATTACATTGCCTGTCTACGAGTCTGAGTTTGGCTTGTTTAATGAATTATTTAATAACCCTGAGATATCATGATGTGATGTACACATTTAGCCACTGCTTTATCTATAAGATATATAAATTTACATATAACAAAAAGGTATACATGTGCAGAGATATTTAAACAACTTAATACATACACTTTCTGAAAAGTAAATGGCAAAGAAGATACTAAGAAGATACTATATGTAGCTTTTAAAATAATGATAATTCAGGGTATCATGAATTTAAATAACAGAGGGAACTGAATCTCAGATTAAATGCTAACTTGTATCCCAAACTGTGACATTTTCTATGCCCATGAGGCATCAGGTTTCTAGGAGATGGAGGAGTTGGTGGTAGCAATGCGCCTTCAGCTGTAGCATTCTTTCGCACAGTTTGGGGAGAAACTCCCACTTCAGCGCCTGGAAAAAATAAAAGCGAAAAGAGCAAACAGCAAGTTCTTTATTATAATTCTTCAACTGTATATAAAAAGTAGATCTGATAATTTCAGAAGTGCATATACAGATTATCTATTTCCCTCTCTTTTTAGTTTATTTATAAAAGATTTGCTTAAATTAGGTTTTCTATTTAACAGATTTTATGGATATTATAAATCAAGAAAATAAGAACACTGTGGGGTAGAGTCAGAGCAATTGTTGAATATTTACCAACTAAATCTTCACGAGATGCAGTGGAACGTGGGGTACTGGTCCCAGGTTCTATTTTTAATGAAAGTCTGCATTAAGAAACAAAGAAAAAGATTTTGCTAATAGCAAATTCAGACATCTATATTTACTATCCATTTTCTACCTAGGAATTCTACTAGGAATCCATAGATAATCATTTGAGCTAGTTTGGTGTAGTGGTTAAGATTCTGGGCTAGAAACCAGGAGACTGTGAGTTCTAGGCTTCCCTTAGGCATGAAAGTAGCTGGGTGATCTTGGGCCAGCCACTCTCTCTCAGCCAACCCACCTCACAAGGTTGTTACTGTGGGGAAAATAGGAGGCAGGAGTATTAGGTATGCTTGCCACCTTGAGTTATTAAACATATACACCGCCCCCCACATAAAAGAAAAAGTGGGATACAAATATAATAATCATAATCATAATTTGACAGACTTAGATGTTTGAAGAAATACTAATACACACACACACACACATACACACACACATACTGTTTAGATAATCTGATAAAAAATTGAATGAGGAATCTTTATTAAAGCTCTATTAATTTAGCATAATTAAACAATAATTTTTAAATGGACTAAAATTAAGTAATACTCTTTAATTTTTCAAATGTTACTATCATTATAAAACGTAATATATATATAACAAGATTTTTGCAACATGGGCTCCCAAACTTACAAAATAAAATTTGTGTCAAAATTCAAGATGAAAACCCCCAATTCTTTCAATAAGCAAGATACAAAACATTTATTTCTCTTTTAAAAGAAAAACGCACATGTGATTTTGAAATGCCATTTAATAAGACTGTCATATTCTGGAAACTTTCCCCCACTCTGTATATTAACTTAAAGAACAGAAGAACAAAACAGTTGCATATGTATCTGTTAAAGTGACAACTAGTCTGTTTTTAAAAAGCCAGTATTGATTTATACTAACAAATACTGCAATTAATAAAATAATAAGAAATGAGGGAAGGACGATGTTAAGGATTGGGGAATATAACACCTAACTCATAATAGATTAAGATTGTCCTAGATCCTTATTTATCTGTTAGATTTATATTCCACTTTCTTCTAGGAGGTCAAAGATGCTTATATGGGGATCTCCCCAATAACCACCACCCTGTGTTGTAGGTTGGGCGGAGAAAATAACTGCTCACCTAGTGAATTTCAATGGCTAAGCCTCCTTAGTCCCAGTTCAAATCCTTAATCACTACAGGGAGCTCTGTCATTAATTAATTAATTAATTCATTCATTCATTCTCAAGATTTACAGCTGTGGGTTATGTTCACTAAGAAATAAGGAGAAATGCAAGGAACAATTCATAAAAAAGGAAAGCCTATAAACAGAAATGCCCTAAAAATTTCAAACACTTATGAAACAAAACTGCAAGTATTCTTTTGTTCTTTATGAAATATTGCTTTAAAAAACAAATAATGAATACATTATAATTGCCTAGATTTTATACTTACTTATAATTATCATCTTCCACAAACTTCTGAAGTTCCTCTATATACTGAACAGAATTCAGGTACTTTTGAACATGAGGCAACACAGGAATATCTAAATAGTAATTAGTATATATATATATAGCAGTTATTTTATTGGCAACCACCGTGATCTGTTATTTTTATACGGCATGGTTTCATATCAGTTAACTATTATTATAACATTATCTTCCTTTCTCTCCCACACAAGCAGGCATTTAGCTAACCACTATTTCCACAAAAGTCTGTGACAGAACTGAGATTGCCTTGCTTTTAAAACTACAATCTTAATAGCAGTAATTGGATGGGGAAGGAAAAGCAGGAAGCAAGGCTGTGCACACAAAAGCTATAGGGGTATGTTTCCTTGACAGCTGCTCCTAATGTGAAAACCCCAGCTAAAATATATTAAAAAGTGCTTCATATGAGTAAAGCCATATTAAAAACTGTCGATGGGCACTATTCTTCGGTATATAGAATTTTGATCACAATGCTAAATATCAAAATATTGAAACTGGCATATTTATATTTGTGGAGTCCTTGGGGTTCTCTGAGCTTGGTTCTTTTCTTG